CTGTTTGTAATATTAAAATAACCGCTTTTTACTAAATTCATATGTATGTTTACACGGTAAATATGCCAAACTAACATTTTTACAATTTTTGTCTGTCTGTCTGTCTGTTTGTTCCGGGTAATCTCTAGAACGGCTGGACCGATTTCGACGGGACTTTCACTGGCGGATAGCTGATGACATAAGGAGTAACTTAAGCTACTTTTTTTAGACTAGCTTCGCCCCGCGGCGTTGCTCGCGGTTATAATAACAAACGCGGGTAACACCGCGGGTCTCAGCTAGTGCCATAATAAAAAGCTCCTGTCATATTTTATAGTACATTATAATTACCTTTATCTTGACATACTTAAAACCTTTTGTAGGTACCTATTAGGATTTCATCTACATTGGTGACAATTCTGTTGTTCGAAAACTCTAAACTAAAAATTACAAAAAATATTTAATCTTGTGAATCAGCTTTCGTATTCTGGAAACATAGTACATACTTGACATGACTTAACATTTTTTTTTTAGTTAAGAGAATTTTTGAACAACAGAATTCGCACCATTGTCTATAATGTCTATAATTTTAAGTAGATTAAAAGAAAAAACAAAAAATAGATAGATAAATAACTCTTTATTATACAAGAAAAAAAGGACATAATTATACAACAGTTTGTATTCATTTGAATGAGTCTTATAATACAGGGACAATTAGACAAAGAAAGTAAAACTAGTTATGTACGAGTAAAATTGTTGTACAATTGGAGGCCTTATCGCGATTTGCGATCTCTTCCAGGCAACCGCTGGATGGAGAAGGAAAATAAGGATGGCATGGGGAGTTGCAATTTTACAGTACGACACGATACAAGATATAAGACTAACAAACTTATATAATTACTTACATAACACACTGAATACACAGATACACTATTAGACACACATTTGCACCACACAGGGTCCTCTCATCGCTCAAAAATTAAGGAAATGCTCCTTCAATTATTTTTTTTAAGTTAGCAAGTGATTGTGCTCGTCTGATGGGCACTGGTAATGCATTCCACAAACGTACGGCTTGCACAGTAAATGACCTGTCCATAAAAGTCGTAGAATGCCTCGGGATTTTCATTCAAGTTCTTTGACGTAAGTAAGTAAGCTTAATATATACATTGATAAAATTCGTCAGGAAACAAGGTCCCATAATTGGCATTCTGTGATAGATAACTGTCATTAAAGAACTTCAACTTCTTTTCGACGTCTTAAGATCTATTTATGTATGTCATGCAAACTCTTATTTATTTTTATTCCAATGTGTTTAGTAATTAATATATAAATCCTTAGTCATTGAAATATTACATATGCTTCAATGGATGATAAGTTATTTTAGAACAGATGATAATTTATTTCCTATCTAATGACAGGAATATTTAGGTAAAGAAGACTCAGGTCAAGGTCAGGTCAGGTCAGGAAATAGGGTCAGACAATCTAACCCTATTTCTAAGATTAAAAGTCTGATTTTATAAGAAATCTTACTGTTATGCTAAATAATATATCCAACTTTAATTAAAAAAACATACGAATGTATAATAAGGTTCGAATGTAGTGCAAAATTAGTATTCAATACTTGACTTGTATAAATCACAAGCCATTAAGATGGGAGTTGAATGTAAGCTCAGTTGCAAGATGAGGATAACTTTGGGCGACAATAACCAGTTGTTCTAGTCTTATTGATACGAACCAGGTCACAAAAATCATGAGCAATACTTTGAATTTAACTTTTTAATTTACCTACATAAGTTTTATCTTAGGTCTTTTATTTTATATCAGGTACAGGTTTAATAAAAATACTTTCATAATCTTTACTATACTAAATTACACATCACGAATGAACGAATTTGACTAAGTAACCTACCCAGTAAACGGTAACAACATTTCATATATCCATAAAATCAACTTAATACATGAGTAATAATAATACATATTACTTTTGTTTAATAACTTATAATCAAGTAGTCAAGTCATCAAATTTGTGATATTTTTAATAAGCTTAGTGAATAATTTTTAAGTCACAATTTCGAAATACGCAAAATTTTGGTTGGTCTTATGACAATTTATCCGAGTTTGCTTTGCACGTCGCTATAAAAATTTGTGTTGTCCGTATGATTTACATTTAAACTTTTCAAAATTAAAAATAAACTGTAAAACAATATGTTTACATACTTATTTAGTAAAAAAAACTAAATCTTTATTGCATCAATTCTGCTTAATATGCGCTGTGCGGGGTTTTTACAAGGTTTATTATGAAGTGGTTAAGCTAGCATTTGTATGTCGTAAGTTATTTAAAGTAATTTAAATAAAAATAATAATAAGAATTAGTTCACTACCAGTTGTGAACTTTTCTTGTTATGTTGTCAGTATATGTTATTTTATTAGTAAATATAATAAGAACCATTAGTCTAAAATAGTTGGATTGAAAACTACGCTATTTCGTACTTATAAAAAGCTTTATTGTGAGAAACTATATTCATAACATTCTTCTCTTTATGCGCTTGTTGGCTATGAGGTCACCTATGTAGGTGATAAACTTTTATTAAGTAGGTACCTACTTAATAAAAGTTTAAAATTACTATTTTATATAACAAACAATTCAAATAAAGCAGTCAAGAAGTTACATACAAACTAAGGAGTGTAGAAGCAAGGAGAACCATCTCTGTGTATGAAAATTGTCCGTTAAAACGCGTCCAATAGGGGTGGCGCATGACGCTGCGGCAGCCTTTTTTTTTTTTTTTTTTTTCCTGTGCGCAACTCCCCTGGGATATCATCCACCCGTGGGGTGATTATGTTGGACTCGAAGCGACCAAAAATCGTACGCCGTGTCTTGTACCAGTGGCCGGGGAACCAGGTGTACCCTAAAAGGAAATCCCTGGTACCCCGACGTACCTAGGGTCATGGCGGCGTGTAGATGACCCCCTCCTGTGTGGGAACCCCCCTGTTCCCTTTGTGCTCCCGAAAGGGCGCGCGCTTTGCAGCGCGTCTCGCCGCCACCCCGGCTTGCTTCTGCTAGGGTGACAGATGGCCTCACCTGTCACCATCATATCATATTATGTACGTATTATTATTCATAAAAGCAACATAGACAATTCATCCGCCTACGTACCCATTACGTAATAACAAAAAAAGGAAATATACAGGTTTAGTCAACTTTTTTTTTGTCGATTAATAATCGAGTTTATAGAATCAAATATATGATTATTAGTGTACGTAATTACATAAATTCAACACGAACAGATCATTTCAAGCTCAGAACAGTTTTGTCGTTAATTGTACTTATGTCTATTCTATGTTGTAGTTGTTGCTTGTATTACCAATTTCAAACCCTCTATAAAAACATAAATTTAATCTTAGTTATTTTCTTAGAGTCATCTTCCGATTATAACAGCTGTAAAATCTGTTTCAAGTACTTACTTATTAAATAGGTATTTTTTTCTTTCATTCTTAATCCGTAACCTCTACAACTAAACTTGATAGGAGCGTTGATAGAGTTTTAGAATATTATAAATTTATACATTCTTAAATTGCGGACCAACTCGAATTAGATTATTTAAATCTAGTAATCAAGTCCATGGTACAAACATAAGAACTTCTTAGTTCGATCTTATATAAACTTATACCGTGTAACATAAATCTTTTAAAACATGTATCTCTTCGTCTACGTTGAACTTAGTAAAAGAAAAAAAAAGAATGAATATTATAAAATACAACAACGTAATTAAAACAAAACAAACTTCAATTCTATTGAGTTATCTCAAGGACTTGAAGTTCAAGTACCTCTTACTCTGAAGATGTATTTATAAAACAAGTTTGTTCTAGCAGTTTTATGGTATGTTGGGCTCGATGATCGCATCTTTTTAAAAATACATTATTTTAAAGTTGCAGTTACGTATAAAGAAGTTTCTACTCGTAATTGACAAAATAAAAGTAAAAAGGTTAGTTACTTAGATATGTTTACGAACCTTTGCTGATTTTCCTATTGGTAAGAATAGTAAATATTTTATAAAAAAAATATAAAAATTTAATAGAAAATTATTAAATAGAAAACTGCTGTGTAGCAAATGAAATCTGTCTTAAACTTCTGTGGAACATTTCACTATTTAAATGTATTAGTAGTTAATATTATTTGTTTTGAAGAAGAGCAACACATATATTTACTATTCAATCTATATATATAAATGTGAAAGTGAGTTTGTTTGTTTGTGTGCTTGTTTGTTTGTTACGCTTTCATGCCTTAACTACTAAACAGATTTAAAAAAATCTTTCACCAATAGAAAGCTACATTCTCAGTAGGTAACATAAGCTACTTTTTACCGCAATAACCGACATACACGCAGGCAGAGCCGCGGCCAAAAGCTAGTCATAGATAAATTTAACAAGATGCTTCTTGTATTCTTTTAGGCGGTTTTTTTTTATTAGAAGATATTATCATAAATCGAACCATATATAAAATAATGACTTTAACGTAGGTATACAAAATAAATAAATATGCAAGAAACCAAAAAAAACAGATACGATTATTTTGAACATTAGTAAAATGTTGATGAGGACTGACAATGAACCAAGTAGCTTTGTATAAGTTAAAATTAAAAGGAAGCGTTGAGAAATATTGAGTCGTATCTAGATATACTCATTAATAAATGTATACTCTAAATGTGCACCACAACCTACTTATTACTATACAGTACAGTCCATCCAAAGGTTGCCTGTAAGAGATCGCAGACTGCGATAAGGCCGCCCATCCTAGAACTGTTTTTTTTTGCTTGTGTTCTGCATTGTGTGTTTCCTGCCCATGGTGTGCAATAAAGAGTACCTATCTATCTAGTTATTCAAATCCGCTTCAAATCCTAGTGTATATTCATTTATATCAAGGACACATGTCTGCAAAATTTCTGATAATGAAGTCGAGGAGTGAACCACAACAGCGTTCTATGTTAGAGTAGCACCAAAATCAATTTTCTTCTTTTTCTTTACAGCTTGCATCACTAATATTGCTACTTGCGCTGTCAGTGCCAACCTTTGAACAGAACCCACAGCCTACGCCAATATCACCATGCCCCGACGTGTTTCAATACGAGGCGCCTAACTCTGAGAATGTTGGACCCTCTCTCCGATGGTACGGGGTCATCCATTTGTCCACAGAAAACACCCTGCATTCCTTATGGCTGAATATTGTGTTGGACAGGAAGGCTGATATTCTTGGGGTAAGCTTGTTTACATCCTCAACAATGATATCGGTTCGGTCAAGTTTACCGGGACCTGAACCCGTCCTCCTTCGTGAACCTTCGTGCGAGTTCAATAATAATATTATAATTTTACAAATTCGATATAACTCCCTAATTCATGCAAACTATCTTATTACACTGTCATCTTGCAATTTTTTTAGAACTGGATAGGTGATGTGACCACCTCTGATAACATCGATTTCAAGATCGAAAATACAACAATGAAAATCAATCCAGGGCCTGCGACAGCAATGCGTTTCTTTGTTCAGTACAGTTCTATAAGCCCAGCGCCTAGACTTCAAGCAATTAGACTAAATGGTATTGAAATCTGCAACGCTAATATACCACGACCAGCAACTGGCAGACCAGAGCCACAAACAGAGCAACCATCGTTTGTGAAATTACCTCAGCCAAGTTCTACCAGGCCTGTAGCGAGACCTGAGACTTTTGAGACCCGGCCCGTACAAGGCAGGCCAAACGTTGACAAAGTGGGTCCAGTTTATGTGAGGCCCAACAATCCTCTTCCTGTTGCTCCAAGTCTGTAAGTACAGCTTTTGTCATTTCTTTATAACCGAATACTTTGTGAAGTTAAGCTACCTCCACGATTGAACGATTTAAATATTAGTATAAATCTGCTGTGATCTGCTATCCGACTTTATTTCTTTTTGGATAATATATTGACCTCTAAATATGTAACTCTATTTAAAAGTTTTTGGAATATAACAGTAGTTTACATGCGTCATTTGAACTACTACACCACTACGACAGGATTTAACGCATGAGTTGACAATATGGCATACGAATAATCTCTTTCTAAAATTTCTTCAGATAGAGTTCAGGATTACGTTTTTTCTTGCCATTTTAGTAAATGCATGACACTTAATTGCAAAAGCAAAACTTTAACAAGAGCTACAAGTTTTACAAATTGAACCGTAAAATGATGATAGTTTTGGATAGTTCTTGTTTTCAGTTTAATACCGTTTTTATTTGTCTAAGTTTCGTAAAAGAATATGAAGACCCTTAAGTTTTTTTCCCTAAGGCAAGGTGGGTAACACTATTTTCAAATATAAATAAATCAAAACTATTCACAACTTCATGCGCCTTATCCCAGATAATGAATTTAAAAAGTTAGACGAGCTTCCGAGTATTTTTCAAAGAGTTAGCCATGAAAAAGGACACAAGCTTACATTATCCCGCAAGGATTTTCTTGGACATAGAATATTGATTTTTTATACTGTTTAAATGTCTGGCTTTGGCCCGGACGTGGTTGTAATGTATGTGGATATATTTTGATAATACAGAAGGTTATACTTTGCTCATTCGTTTCTCTTCTTTTGGACAACGCAACGTAACTATGCCAGAGTTTATGAAATTCAACTTTAAAAAGCACAGTTATTTGAATATGTGCTACTTATTTATTTACTAGTATTTTAGAAATAAATTATTTTGGTTTTTAGGCAATAAAAAAATTACGTAGTGATGTGAACATGTTTCTACGGTATTTATCTGAAAGGATCTAGAGTTTCTAAGTCTTTGTGCGTTATTGTATTTGTCAATATTCAACATCCAAATGTAGAAATTCAAGATTATCATTCATATAAAGATTATCTGCACTTGTTTCGTCACTGGGATCCTCACTTAAGTTTAATTATTTTCGATGCTTAATATATCAAACAAGGTTAATAGATATTACTAAACTTTTCTTTTTAACTGTCTTATAAATAAGAAAGTTCTTAATTCGATTGAATATGTTATCTATTTTTTGTTTGTTACCTCAGAACTTTGTTATTACGAACCGAATTAGCAAATTCTTAATTTTTTTATTACCCAAAAGAGACAATTATTTGCAAGGCATATATCAAGTTCTATTTAAAGAAAAAATAAAACCCCTTAGGAATGAAAAATACAGTTTAGTGATGTGAACATGTTTCTACGGTATTTATCTGAAAGGATCTAGAGTTTCTAAGTCTTTGTGCGTTATTGTATTTGTCAATTTATAACATCCAAATGTAGAAATTCAAGATTATCTGCACTTGTTTCGTCACTGGGATCCTCACTTAAGTTTAATCATTTTTTATGCTTAATATATCAAACAAGGTTAACAGATATTACTAAACTTAGAAATAGTTGAATAATATGCACATATTGATATCAGGATCTAATAGGAAATAAATTCGTTATTAAATCCATAATGGCCAGATGCCAATGGATCTTCTGAGATTAAACCTTAATCAATATCAAATTATTTTCTAAAAATAACTATTTAATGTACTCCTTGTTAGATACCTATATGTTCTGTTCACAGAAATTAGATACATTATACAATCAGTATTAGGTCGCTCAGAGGTCGAATTTCGGCCGTTATTTTTCAAATCTTGATAACATATGCACAAAAAAACATTATAACGAAAGCTCTATAAGAATGTCAGAAACACAAATAAAACACTTGATAAACAGAAGCGAAAAAGTACGAAACTATTTTGTCTGGGCCTATTTATAAGTTCCTATCTATAATTAATACAAACGCTGAAACAGGCAACCAAATACATAAATTGCTATATGCTATATATGTATAAAATAATAATAACTAGAATTCCTTACGAAATGAGCAATTGATGACGACATTCATTAATATTATCTGCGGTAGGTACAGATGTTTTGCTCAGTCTACAAATTAGATTGTACGAACAGAATGATTAATTTCTTTGTCGTAAAGAAAGCAATTAGAGTATGTAGTCAGCATTTCTTGTAATTTTTTTATTTGGATAAAAGAAGTCTAGTTGGAATATTGTATTCGTAGGTCACTGACCTCGCACTAAAGAAAGATAAAAGATTTTAGAATAAAAACTATCGTGATTGTTATTTACGTCTATCGTCTGTCTTTTAAACAATGTTTTAAACAGACGATAGACGAAAATTTCTTTTCACCGAGTGGGTACCAAATAATACTGTAACCCAAACCTCCCCCCATTCCGGGGGGGGGGGGTTTACAGTCCCCTACTGATGATGTGTTGCAGGTGTCCATAGGTAATAAAAAAGAAATCCTAACAATATAAACGGTAAGGTGTATTACCCAAAAGAGACAATAAGAGAACTGAAAATACTTTAAAGGAGGAAATAAAGTTAAGAAAACCTTGTTTATAGTTCTGGTGAGGATCCTTCGCAATTCGTTGTGAACAAAGGACGCCCCAATAACGGTTACCAAGCAACTCAAAGTCCAGTACGAGCGCCTACAAGGAGGCCACCCCCCCAGCAGGAAGTAAGGTATGTATTTAGTAAATTGCGTTTAGGTTCTTTTTAACTATCTCAAAAATAAGGAAGTTCTTAATTCGATTGTATATGTTATCTATTTTTTGTTTGTTACCTCAGAACTTTGTTATTACGAACCGAATTGGCAAATTCTTAATTTTTTTATTACCCAAAAGAGACAATTATTTGCAAGGCATATATCAAGTTCTATTTAAAGAAAAAATAAAACCCCTTAGGTAAAAATACAGTTTATTAAAAATTTATTCATTATGTTATAGAAGCGTATTGAAGTCGGTTAAGAGTGTTTCACCCATCTTCACATTACTCGTATTAGTCTAAATGATTATCGGTAGTTTTGGTATTTCTTACATCATCACTATTACGAAATATGTAATACTTTTTTTACTTCCAGTACTGGTGACGACGGCGACTACTTTGAAGGTGGCCAACCTACTTTTATTATACCAAGTAATACAGGACCTACTAACCCTAACCGCCCTAACGGCCAGGTAAGATCTATTCTATTACTAAAATATAGTTTGCTCTAGCCAAGAACAAAGATCGAAAATTAAAGAAAATTTTACATGTTGAACTACAAAAATATATGTATATATATTTTATTTTGATAATTAAAGAGTACCTACGGAGCAATTAAAACATGTTTTATGATCTTTATTAGTCCCCCAAAACAAGAGATATTTTTATTATCAAGAAAGTATTAAAGTTAATAAAAAAGGTATCCCACAACAAGTAATCAACCAAAATTGCCAGAATGTCGAAGTGCATTATGGAACGGTAAATCCCAACACACCGGTTGTCTTCAATTACAACTATGGGTATAAAATGACCTTCACATCAGCGATTTACTCTCACGAAGCAAACTTTTTAAATCTGTTTCTATAGTACCCGCCAATTATCAAGCGGATATGAAAACGAGTTTCAGACGCACGTGTTTTGTTCAGATAAATGAAGCAGGGGTGCCCAAAGTGTGTAAACATATAAAGGTACAATGTTACCATACACTATAAACAATATTTTTTTTTTGTTTATGCCACAATTTGTTTTACTATACACATTTAAATTTTTTTTTTAATAAATAGTTGTATTGCTAACCCAAGCATAAATGTTCTTTAATAAAATCACTGAACTCACCGTTGGCTCTTTTTTTAATTTAGCACATTTTCTGATAAATTCGGTAAACATTGGCCAGTGTTGACCATATTATATTTATAACTTGTTATATAGGAAATAATAATATTTTTAAATAAGAAGATCTTTTAATGGCTCAACGAAGCAAACGCGTGTTAAATCTTTAAATTGTAACACAGAATAAAATGGTATAAAACGACTATATATCAAGAGCGTTTATTTATAAGTAAATAATAACATTTAATGACTCTAGCTATAATGACCCTAGTAAAATCTATAAATAAATAAAAAAAAAAAATACTAAAAATATCAATAAAAAGGATGCACAATAAAAAGGATGAGTAAAGACCTACAGATTAACAACTGTTATCTATATCTTACATATATATCTTACATATCATTAATGAAATGAATTAAAATCAATATTAGAATGGTTTTGACATTTTAATAGATTTTTAAGTAGGGTTATTACGAGTATACGTATTACGTAAGACGTAACGTATACGTAACTACTTATTTGACCTAAACTGTGTCCCTAAATTTTGCTTATAACCAATCGTGAAGTGGAAACATTTAAGTATAAGTTGCCTCACTGGTGGATATAGAAAATAAATTAATACAGTGTATTAAAATAATGACCTTACACTACAAAATGCAGTAATTATTTTGCAAACACTTTCATAGTTCTGGTTTTCACTAGAACAAAAAAGGAAACGGATATACAAAACATATTTTAGGCACATTAGGCTTTGTCTGTTCTTGAAGAAATGTATTTGAAATTTTTAAAACGTTTTTACATATTATCTCTATATGATACGGATTTAACGGATTTTTTGGTATCAAGGTAAAGTCGTATCGGAAAGTAGTCGGAACTTGCGATTATTTCTATTACATATAAGGTTATTTACATAAATAGATAGACAGATACTCTTTATTGCATTACAAATTCGTAATTATATTCAAACAAAATGCCTACATAAATAGAATACACACATAAAAAGAATATATACCTACGTATGTACAACTTCTTTTCTTATAGAAAATATTATAAATAAATACATTCAATTCAATGTAATTGTTAATATAATATTATTCATTTCAAAATATAATTAACAGTTCAATTATTCAATTCTATTATTAATATTGTTCATTTCAAATTATAATTAACATCGCAATTCAAAGACCGGTTTGTACAACAAAAATGCTCTACTCGTCGCAGGAATCGAAATCCAGTTAATGTTTAAAACATCAATTACAACAAAACAACCTTTTGAAATAAATATTTTAAACCTTTTAAAATAAAGAAACAATATTTTATAAAAAAAAAATATACTATGAAACTATTAAAAAATGTTTAGCAACGTCATACAAATAGGTTACAAGTACATATAAGATGAATACGACACAAATAACAATCAAACCAGGTTAAACATAAAAATGTTTTAACAGTTGAGCGAACACGCAATGACATAAACATATACCTAACCTACGCGAGCTACGCCAAGATGTAATTTGTAGTTTAGAATATACATACGCCAATGGAAAAATATGTAGACATAATACTAGACCTGCCATTTAAATTCAAGCATCGAAGCTTCTCTTTTTTTTTTAATTTAGAAATATTTTCGCATTCGCCTATTGCTTCGACTATAATGCGCACAAGCACAACCATAGGTGCCATAAATCAGGACCATATATGTAAATTGGTGGCATATACTCGTGCATTATAGCCTATGAGGACACCTTAGTCGTGAATCTACTTATAATTACATGGCACAGATGTTGTTAAGTATTTTCTTGTTACAAACTTTTTTTTATATATAATATTTTCAAAAACTGTGACCGTTGAAATGTTTATGAAATAAAAAGTTCTTGGTCTTGGTCTAGCAACTATTTTAAAAGTAGTTAGATCATACGAACTAAAAAATACGAGTATAACACTGTAAATAGATCTTATGAAGTCCATATTTAATTGTAATAATACTTTAAGGCGACTTCTTCGCTGCTAACCTGCACGTACTTTTCTTGAGTTTATTCTTCACGATGACATATTTTTGTGTTTTAAAACTTTCCCAGTTATTCAAAACCCGGGAAATTGTTTGAACTGACTGCGTTCTAAAAGAAATAAAACAAAGAGAGAGCTACAAAAATATCTGTTTCGTTTTTATAAAAATCACATCACGAAATTATTTCATTTCCTCATTTCGTAGGTTTTGTTGCGATTTCGCTCTCTCAGAGTGAGAAAGTGATGACGAAACCTTGTTTTGTATTTTAAATAGTTACAGAGTTACTTATACCACCCAAAACTAAATTAATATTTTTCTACAAATCATTAGCAGTCTAACAGCAATGTAATTTTAATAGAAATCTGATTTTAATTCTAACATGCCAAATGTTAAAATTATTTTGGATCCAATTTTATTTCCAAACTTTTAAATGACATAGGAACTCTTTTTGTTTATCTCTTTTTACATAATTTGACAACGTAACTTACAGGAATTTCTATAACACCTTGGCACCCATTGACTCTTCTGCATTCTGTCACTGCTCATGTTCTGTTTTAGTCTGTCTCTTTTTCTCTGTATCCTAAATACTATTAGTTTTATTTTTAATCTGTCAGTACACAAATATAGGTAATATATTAATGGTTTTGCCCGTGGTTCACCTGCATAGTTCACCGTGTCTCATTTTTAGAGGCAATGATGCATTTACAAAAAATCATGTTATTTCAAAAAGCTTGCTTCAAAAAACATGCAACACATTCAAACACTAAAAACACCTCGACGGCCGGCATTAAGCGCTCTATTCTAGGGAGGACCCGGCCTATTAGCCTACCACTAAATGTTGCGGCCCGATCACATTTTTTGATGCCATCAGGCCGCCATCATATTATAATTGTTTAATTGCTGCAGCAATGAATCTGCCGCCGCAATTAAACAATTATATAGTATTGCTTGCACTATTACTGACAAAAATAAAATATTGGCAGGCAGGTATTAACCGTACACACACGAAAGTATATTTTCGTTTTAATCAAGGATGCGAACTCACTGTTTGCAAATACTATGACTAATCTATGTTTTTAATAATATTAGTGACTAAATAATTATTATTTAGTACTGTTATTTAATTACAATTTCACAGAACACGTAGTTTATACCTTATTATAACATAATTTCACTGACCATACAATCAGTACAATAATACAAAAATATTTTACATTGCTGTATTTCTTATGATTTCAGCTTCAATGTGGTAAGGTGGAGATGAATCGTGATGCTGTTCCTCTAGTAGTAAACGGTACTCCAACTCTAGAGGGACAATGGCCCTGGCAAATTGCATTGTACCAGACGCAGGTGAGAGTACGTGACCTTTAAGTTTAATATTACCATCATGAATCCATGAGGACTGAGGTATCTATTTCTTCTGTAAGCTTGGCGGGAAATATTATGGTATTGTATTATTTACTTGGCAACCACCGACATCTATCATAGGAAAGTCATCGCTCGACATAAATTATATCTATTAAAATATAGGTATCGATATTTCGTTTACGTTTATACTTTGATGATTTGTATTTTTTCTCTTTTTTTTAATAATGGCACAAGGTAACAGTTCATATAAACACAGTAACAGTGAAGAAAACATCAGGGATTATGTATCATCTGCCATCACTCGCTTTGTGTGTAATACAATGTAGATTAAATTTTTTTTTTTATGTACACTGTATTATTTTCAGCTACTTTGTCCTTTGTTAGGTAAACCTTTTTGAGAAGCGTTTTCCATTTCAGTGGATTCTCTGAGAGTGTATCTACAATGTTGTATTTTAGTTCGTTAAGTATTTGTGGTAAAACATATTGCCAACGTCGCTTGCCATGTATGTTGTTGTATGATGGTAGTTCATACCTTGGTAAATATGACAAGCTACGTAGATTATTTAATCTTATTCTTAATTTTAATGAAGCTATGTTCTCAATTTCATCACAGATAATATACATCTTTATCTTGTTATGTATGTCTATGATTTTACAGTGTTTAAACAACTTGTTAGTATCATTCCTATTTTTATTTGTAATATCTAAAGGCACAATTTGTATTGTGTACTGAGTCAAAGTTGGTGTTCAAAAACCACCCAGGACAAATAAGTGAGTGATGCACTGCAAATGCGCATGATTATTAGCAGTTCGATACTATAGCATAATTTTGCACTGCCTAGTTAGAGATTAGACGGCTGTGTGATATATCCTAAGTTACTATGCTACTAGTACTTAAAGTAACGTGATCCGCTGCGCCTTATTTTCTTTTTTAGTACGAAACGTTTGAAGTCACTACATGATACAGTTGAATTACAAAGGAAAGAAAAGTGATTAAAAAATATAAAAATAATTATTATAATGTTATAACTATTGACCTGAGACATAAAATGAGGTAACCCGGTGAATTGAGGTTTGATTGATTTAACTCCTTTTGGTACATAGTAAGTCGGATTGAGACTATTATAATTATAATACAATATTAACTTTCTGCATTGAGCACATTAAATGTTGTTGCAGTACCCCACATAAAGTTCCTATTTATGAACAAAAATACTTTCTTTTTGAAAAATTGCCACATGTGACTAATTTAAGAAATCATTTTGTATCTTGTATCTTTTGTACTTTTGTATCTTCTTCTATGAAATCATTTGCCTTAGAAAAATACTAAGGTGCGGGACCAGAAATTTAGCTATAGAATATCACCTGAACATTTTAGCATAATTTATTTGTGCCTACCAAGTGCTCATAAGAGTAATAGTACACCGGCTTGATAGTTTTATTTTCGTTTAGGATCAATTTAGTTGTCATAAATATTGCACAACTTAAGCTTAAACTAAACTTCCTGCGTTACTCTACTCGTATGCCTTGAAACACACAAGCACATGAACTACATGTAAATGTGCTATGTGTTTTGTGACATTTATCATCTGTCATCTGATCGCCGCTCTTAATCATGTTAAATCTTGATTCAAATGTTGTTCGATAGTGTTCAGCACTTTTCAAGTCTTTGAACAGGGATTAAAGATAAAGACGAAACAAAGTACGAAAATGAATCAGACATTTATAACGTTAATTTATTTGTTGTCATTTTAATTGCATATTTAAAATTTAAATAAAATGTTGTGCATAATATGGCTAACAACTATACTTAGATGTTGATTATAAATAAAACAATAAGAATAAGACACATGGTGGCACCCCAGAAAAGTTCTACAGTTTAGAATTCCACACGTCCATGGTTTAGTAAAGTCACAGAATTTAATGTTTGTTATAATTAAAAGGTCTTGGAAATGGTATTTTTAATATACATAAAAGTACGTGCCCAAGACTCTGTATCTTTCAAGCATCCTTAGCCACGCTAACCATATTGTCCAATTTAGTTGGAGAACAAATACTTACTACCCTTTATTTTCAGACGATAGATAACAAATATCTTTGTGGCGGTACGCTCGTTAGCCACCGACACGTCATTACAGCAGCACACTGCGTTACCAGGAAGAAGTCTAAACTAGAGGTAAACAAGAACACGCTGACTGTCTATTTGGGGAAACACAACCTCAGAACTTCAGTCGAAGGAGTGCAGGTTCGATTCGTAAGTATTATTTTTCATATTGTCTAATAATGCCACAGCAAATATCTTTTTCTTAATTGATAATGGTCAGGGATGCGGGGGCAGTATGCTTTAGTTAATTTTCTAATGTAAAGCTCAGGCAAAATTACCCTCATTAACCTTATAACAATCCTATATTGCTATCAGTTAACGAATTAAAAGAACTTTATTATGGAGTATAAAGCAACTTTCTCTCTAAAAGAGACTCATAAATGATAATCAAACAGTTAAGATAGGGGTTACAATTAAGATCGGGACTAGATGATCCTCCAATCTTGAGATAGTCAGAGAAGTTTCTTTCTACCTACTACCAGTACTAAACTGAGATTTGAACATAGCATCGATGCTTAAGATTAAGCACTATAATTGAAATGTAATTTTCTTAAATTAACTTATTTTTGAATTAAATAAGTATCTGATTGAACGGTTACCGTTTTGCGATATTAGAGTATTTTAAAAATGGTTTTAATTGACTTAAATCCCATCACAAACTTTGCTATAACGACTATCAATATTTTCAATTTGGCCCTTGGTACGTATCGGGGAACAATCGAAGGCCCTTCAATCAAATCTGTGTTAAAATGGATTAGCGCCCTTTGTCAGGACGGACGTTGAATGTCAGAACAGGATCACAAGCCGGCAAGTTTAATTAACTGATTGTGCGAACTTTGCTTGTGTATTTGAGCTTATTCCTCAATTTACAAGAGTGATCGATTTTGGAGTATTCCTTTGATAAACTATTTTGACGCTTCCTATGTTTCATTGGGGCCTTCATGGAATGCCTTGTAAACATGTAAATACCAGAACGTTACTCGTATAAATTAAAATAAGACATAATGAAGGCTGTTAGGCAAATTAATGATTCCTAGTATATATTTGCTTCATATACTCCAATAATAATAAGTAAATTAGCCGAGATGGCATTTTTAAAAAAAAAAAGAAGACTAGCGATTCTAGCGAAGTAGTTCACACATTACTAACACAGCTAAGCTAAATGCGTATGCACGCGAACCACATCACTTGATCGAGGGGCATAGCTATTACACTACTGCAGTTTTTTTACACAGTGTAGTTTTTTACATTGTGTTTGTTTTACGGTATGTTTTACAAATTGAGCTCCATTATCACACTATAACAGTTCTTTCTACGTTTTTTACCATTGTATCCATTCATTGCATTTGAAGACTAGTAACAGTCTTGATTTCTTACTTTTCTATTCCAAATGTGATAATTTAATAAAAGAAAGGATTAAACTTACCACACTAATTTCACCCTTCATTTTCAGGTGGACCGCATCATCGTGCATACTGAATACAACGCGTCTTCCTACAGCCGAGACCTCGCAATCCTGACACTTCGTGAACCAGTCACATACACTGATACAGTGCGACCTGCCTGCCTCTGGCCAGAGAACCAAGTGGATCTTCAAAATGTCATCGGGAAGAAGGGTTCGGTATGTACCGCCAATAATAATTCTACCTATAAATGTTTCTATTTACGAACGTAGAATAGAATCCTAAATGCTTTCACAGCAAGTGAGGTAGTGATAAAACTGAAGTTGTAAGGTGAATGTTAATAAGTTTTCGGTAATTTTAAGAAATACCTATAGAAATACTTGAATGTAACCTACATGCAAAAAAAAACACTACTGGTTTTAAAACAGACTCCAAAAGCATAATGTTACTGAAGATTAATAAAACTTTGAAATATAAGCTTCCGTTAATCGAGCTTTCCGTAATGGAATTGTTAGTCAGCCAATTACCTCGATAAAAGCGTCAACGCAGCACGGAGTCTGAAAGTGCAATGAGTAAGTACATAGTTGCAGACTGCGATATTGGCTAGATTGATCAGCCGTCTATTCAGCCACAAATTAACGACAGTACTAATTGGCAAAATTACAGTTTCTTTCTTAATTGCTGACTTTGCTACATTATTATTCAATACCATCGCTCTGAAGAAGAATGAAGATAATTTGGCTTTGTAGGAATGTGCCCTTTGTAGGAATGTGCCCTATTATTGCATATGAATGAAAAATATTCCCTTAAATTTAAAACTAAATTTACGAATGAGGCTAAGGATTTTTTCTCGCAGAAACCACCACGGGAAGAATATCGGCATAAGAAACAGACTCACATTTAACCTAACAATATTGAATTCATTTGCCTCAGGTGGTCGGATGGGGTTTCGACGAAACCGGTGTAGCGACAGAGGAGTTAAGCTTAGTCGAAATGCCTGTAGTCGACCAGGAAACATGCTTACGGTCCTACAATGAATTCTTTGTACGATTTACATCGCCATACACCTACTGCGCTGGATATCGAGATGGTGAGTAACTTAAGTTTATTGGAAATCTAGTGTAAGAAGTAGAAATACGATTTTGTTCTACCGTGATGGACCTTTGCGTTCTAAATGTTCTTTATACTGTGTACCTACTAGAAAATTAAGGCATAAAATATCATTGTATCGCGTTTAACTTATACGTAGGAAACGTGTCGTGTAAATGTTTTAGTCTGTAACTTGTTATTTATGCGCGCTTATTGTAGAAACTAGGTATCAAAAAACAAAATAGTAGGTAGTTCAGTGAGGCAGGATATTGGTTGAATTACATAATGATACGACCGAACATATTGTTTAAAGTTAACCGTACTACAACGGGATGGCACCTCGACCACCTTAAGGTTAAACCATTCTAAATAGAAGAGCAATACACACAAGCTGTATGTTTAACTATTTTTTTATATAACTGACCACCCTTCATAATGCTTCGAAATACCAATCTGAAAGACAAAGCTATATTCTCAATATTCTGTTGAATAACTGTTTAATAACACAATACAAAAAAAACATACATAAGTATATTATACCTTACAACAACGAGCAATATATTCCCACCAACTTTTGGATCTTCAGGTAGACATACTGTGAATATTCAGTGGGTAGGTATCATTTCAATTATATTGTAGGTGTACGTACGAAGTATATCTACACAGATATACTGACACATAATTAAGACAGCTACATAGGTCCTTACACATGCAGATTGGGTAATAAACAAATAATTGCTTCCAGGAGTCTACAACGAACGTACCGGCACTAGGCAAAGTATGTTTATAAACTCAATATAACAAGGTTTTGGTAGCTACTACTACCTATAGCTATTTACGCATGCATTTAACTCGCTTCTATAATGTAGGTTCGGGTATATTAAAACTATTAAACGATCTTTTATTTAACAGGAATTCTTCACAATATTTTCTTGAGATTTATCAGCCTTTCCCAATGGAAAATTATCATGGTAATGTATAAAATTACCAAATTACTCAAGAGTGTGTACTAATATCAACTCAAACAGAAAAAAAACAAAATTAGTATTAACGTTATATGCAATGACAAAGTGTCTTCAATCTGTTAAAATATCCAGCGAAAATAAAATTTATTTAAGTATATATTTTATACAAGATAGACATTGTTATTATAGTTTACATTATCCTTTGTAATACATATTGTATGTATACAATAAACAAAGGGCAAAGTCAAGAGATCAAAACCGAATATATTAATTACTTGTCTTAAGATAAAATTTTAACAAAAAAAACCGACTTCAATGGTTTTCTCATGGATTCCATGGTCAGAACTAGACCAAATTGAAATGGGACCACACGGGGAGCACCAGCTTTCCAATAAAAAAAGAATCATCAAAATCGGTTCACCCAGTCGAAAGTTATGAGGTAACAAACATAAAAAAAAAATACAGTCGAATTGAAAACCTCCTCCTTTTTTGAAGTCGGTTAAAAATACTCACCTTCAATGAACTTAATAAAAATCAAATTTACTATTTGATTAAAATTAAAAGATAAAAATTAAAGATTGTATCCCAGCAACTTTAAAAAAATATGAATATATAATTAGGTAGGTACATGTATGATGACGGACGGACGTAACCACAAACAGTCGTTCGGTCCCGTCATATACTAGTTTGAGACGATACTATAGATATTATTGTCTTATTTGGGAAAACCCAGAAGAAAAACTCCCTATCTTTATTTACATTCGTTTTAAAATCGGTAACGGGTCTTCCCTGTGGGCAGCCAGGCCGCCGGGATTTTTTTAAATTAACATCTACCCTAAATATTTTAAATCTAGACATATGAAGGACATTAACTGCATGCAGTTCGCAGATTCGATCTTTTGTGTCTGTTAATCTACGAACTATGATGACAGTAAAACCCTACATAATCTTGGGGATGAAGTACCATACCATGGGGCATAAGGACGCAATTATTAACCATTAAGTATTATAATCATGATAATATCTGACAACCACACCAAATGATAAAATATTGACTCTCAACTGAACTACGCGTGACAACAGCACTGCAAAGAGAAGAAACAAACCCCAACCCGTCTGCCTTTCTAAGCCCAAAAGCTCCCTTTCTAAGGAGAGGCCTATGTTCAGCAGTGGAATATTAAAGGCTGTTGATGATGATGATGATGATCAGTACCAAAACCTCAGAATTGTTTCTTTTTTATGTTTTATACAATGTTGTCACCGATCTTCTCAATGAACTGCTCTAAATATTCACATTTCCGTCATGGACGTAGTTAGTTATCGAGGTTAGAATTCCAAAACAGTATGTTGTATAGACTAAAACTCTTTGGTAGCTACAGATTTTATTACTTATTGAGCAAAAGGGAAAAATCTACATGCCAAGTACCTACCTATATATCATTTTGTACAATAAACTCTGCAATTCATAAGGTTCTGTTTAATTAAAAAGTACCTAGCCAGATTTACTAATAAGTATTAATGCACATAAGTATTTAAACAAGCTGTTACTAAAAATACTTGATATGTTATAGGTACATCAGTGTGCAATGGTGATAGCGGAGGTGGAATGGTGTTCAAGATCTCCGGCACCTGGTTCCTTAGAGGCTTAGTCTCTCTTTCAGTGGCCAGGCAAAATGAGTACAGATGCGATCCTTCACACTACGTTATTTTCACAGATTTGGCCAAATTCTTGCCTTGGATCAAGCAAAACGTTTACGATTTCTGATTTTAAAATCAAGATGGATCGAGAAAAACGAATCCAAGTTAATAATAATAGAAATAGGATAGTATATTTTAGTGGTTTTTATGTAATTATAATAGAAGAATGATCAACTATTTCTTAATATTAAGGAAAAAACGTGCAGCTAACGAAGTACAATAGCTCAGCTTCTCTATATACTACGTAGATAAATATTAATATAATGACTGGCCATAATGTTGGCCGTTTTGTTTTAATTATTAACGTAAAAATGTACCTATTATTTTTAATTTCACGAGTCATGTAACATTTAATTCACTGCACTGGAACAAGCACCCTAACAAAAATGAATCGATATTTGAAGAACTCCACAATTTGGATTTCATTTAATTTAAAAAAAATGTTCAAACAGTGAAATTCACTGTAATTTATTCTTGCCAACGTACAAAACATTAATTCAAATTATTCTTTTTAATAAGTATTAGGCAAGGTTTCTGGCTGTGTTCAGGATATTTCTACTAATATATATTTGTATCAAATACGTAAAAACATCTGTTGAACAATATACCTATTTAAGACTGCAGTGTATAATCGAAGAGACGACTTAAGAAATACATTTTTATTATGATGTGTTTAATTTTTATTTTCCCTAGCCAGTGCCTCTTTATATCTATCTGCTACCACAAGTAAGCTAAAACTCCAACTTTTGATTAATAGTTTCGTAGTGAAACCACTATTTAGCCATGTATCTATCTGGATGGCCTGCTGTGGTTTTTAGGCTTTGTAGTTTGGCGGTTTGACAACACTCACTAATACTCGTCGACTCGTCATAAGTATTCAGCACATAAAAGTTCGACCGGAGTGCCCCACAGAAAACCGTTATGTAATTAAACTAACTAACTCTCCTATAAATGGGGCCAATATACGTAGATACCTATATAAAGAGGTGTCGGGAACGGTAATAGTGTCGCGAGTTTGATGGTTTTTTCCCATCACATTCTTTTGTTTGATGTTCAAAACTGCCCAAAGCGCCTAAAGAAGTTTTCACTGTAAAAACAAAAATATTTTTTTTGTCTGTCACATTAATGACAATTGTGTTCAATAGGTTAATCGTTAAGACAAATTAAATAAAACAATGTGATCGTCCTTACATTTATATTGTTACACAAGTAGAAGAAACGTGTACAAATAAACAAATTTAATGCAACGTAATAATAAAATAACTGTAGTTACAAAAAAAATACACAAATGTACAAAAAACTTCGTCACAACAGAGAAAATTATAAATACAGAAGATAGTGCTTCTGTTTATTCAATGCGACGATGCCGTGGAGAATAATCCTTTTAAAAATATTTCTTTGAATACAGTAGGTACTTAGTTTATGTATTAATTCATCACTATTTTATACTTACAATTAAAAAATATTCACTTCACATTACTACAAATTGTAAACATTAAAATTGATAGTAACAGAGTATAACAGGCAGCACATGCTGTGAAATGCAAACGATCCTCTCCAGGTCAAGTCTATATACGAAAAATGATAATTATCATTTTCTTATTAACTGATATTTACCAGTTACATTCATAGGAAGAGAGAAAGAATTTGTGAAAAATGCAAATATCCCACAATTACAGAACTGTTAATGAATGTCAATTAAACCGCCCCAAGAATAGGTCATTTAAAAAAAAAGTGGTCTTTTTTAATGTCTAATGAATTAAATTACAATTATTAAAACTTGCTTAAATCTTTGAAACCGGTTTAAGTAAATACTCCACAACACTAAAAATGTGCCTTACCCTGAGCAAGGAGGATTCTAAAATATCCCTTCCGGACAATGAGCGTGATACCCTATTGTAAGACATCTTACCTCTCGCTGTTCAAGCCAAACTAGTTTCATAACAGGAATAGACAGACTATAGATACCATTATCTAGATTGTTACCTGATCGAAAGAAGCTTTTTATTTACCTTGTACGTTGCAATTGAATGTGCTGCACACATAGTATATTTCTGTAACGGTCGTACAGGATGAGGGTGGCTACTTATAATGCAATATACTAAAATATACCGTTTTGTGTAGTTAATAAGCTTAGGAAATTCAGCCTAAAGAATATCCTCCCCTGGAGCTATGCATGCAACTAATAATTGTAAGGCATAACCGCATTGAATAACATAACAAAGCAATATAGACTAAGTTAAACTAAATTATGAATGTTAGCATTCTAACAAAATAAACCAAAAATTCAATGAACTAAAACCAAACGTTGACACTCATCAAAAAATATGAGAAAACGAAACAAATCTCTTCAAACTAACCCCAAAGAAGGGTTGGTAAAAAAAGAGAAACTGTGTTTCATTGTTACGTTTAGGCAACATTTTCAGAAATAGTCATCTTAATAATAGTATATCCTGTTAAATTACACTATTAAATAACTTTCGACTATTAACTTTACTATGTGAATATAACTTTTACACATATGTTATTTCTTCAAATGTTGCCATATAAAAAAAAATGAAACATTTGTGCCTACTTTATAACATCTGTACTAATTACCCGTACTATGTTATGCACTCGATACTTCCTAAAAATAATCTTAATAAGATTGCAAAACTTCCTTCATTTTCACAAAATAAAACAGTACATACCCTTTACATAATTATTTACAAATCGTACGTGTCTGTACACGGTCCATACAATTGTATATAGATTTGACATTTAATATTAACTGTAAACTTATTGATACTGTCTCTAAGTTCTCTCATATAGATAGCTTAATTCTTTCATAATTCCAGACCCAGAGACTTCAGTGTGCTGCGAAGGCTGTTTTAGAACTGTTTGAGGTTTTTAGTAGTATTTACCGTTCATTTAACTTAACCTAGCTGGTCATTGTGTACAATGAATGTTCTACTATAAGTCATTCACTACTATTTCTGAACATAAGCCTAAATATGTCTTATTTCTTTTTATAAACAATTCTCGTTGTTTTCGTCTATTTGCCTACATTTTGAATTACGATAGTTTAAGTTTGGCTAAGTTGACTAAATGAACTGAAGTATAATGTTATTATGTGACTTTAAATCTGGAAATATTTATTGTTTGGGCAATTGTAAGTCAAGTTTTAATCTAGTTTAAAAAAAAGCATTTTGTAACGTTGTCGATATTTTGAATGCACATTGTAGGGACCAAGTACAAAGTGAGATTACTAGAACACGACAGTTAATTTAAAACATAGCACATCTACACAGAGCACTGAGATCAAATTCACAATTCACACAAACACTAGTCCTTTGTACTTGCGAGAGATATCTGTAGCTACCATAACTTATTAATTGATAAATTGCATTCGTAATTCATTGCAATTAGCAGAGAAATTGACCAGATTATTACACTCCTTACTGCCGCCGTCGCTGGTCGATTTCTTAACAGTTTATGAGGACACAAATATGAGCAACTTTGTGCACCTATGCCTATTTATCTACAAATTATCGACTGTCTCCCCTCACACCATACCTTATTTGAGTTAAATCTGTAAAAGAGCTCGTCAAACACGTATCTAAACGCTTTGTGCTACAAATAAACCATTACCAATATGGCGTCGGTCCGTTTCTGCATCTTTGGCCTTTATAACGCTCCTCGTTTGCAAAATTTGGAGCCCACGGGAGATTTCTACCCCTGTTCGGTCGGGGATTTCCCTTTGTTGTATAATTCGGGTAGACTCGGTTGTTGACACAAACTCCGGGTCTACATCCGTTCCGAGGTGTTGTAGGGTGACTACCGGGTAAAGGTGGAGAAGAGTACCTCTCCCACGGATCCGTGATCATACAATTACCACAGGTCCACGCGTAATCGCCTGTAATGTGAACAAAAAAATGAAAGGAAAACATTAAGCAAGGTGTAAGTAACAATGGTTACCAAATATTAAAAACATCATATCTCATGAATAATATTTTTATTTTATACATGACTATTTATCGTTTGGCCAGATTTTGGAAGAAAACTTTTGCATTTCTCATTCGACCTAACCTTACGTACATTTTTAATACAGTCACAAAATACTATACCATAATGTTAAAAAGTATTATTACTTTTGTATATTTTAAACTGTTGCATCTCTAACGCTTGGTGGTATTTCACCTTGTAAAATATTGCTATAGTATTACAACTTATTACATAAGTTAGAAAATTCCTAAATATTTTACGAAATATATTACTATAATTATATGTTTCAGTTACAGAATAAACAAATCAAATATTCTTTTAACTTACTGCCACTTCCGCAAAAAGAATTTAGAAATACAGTAAAACTAAAATTTTAATGTCTTCAAAACCAATAAATTTTATCTGAATTTTAATGTTATTTCGTATTTATGTAATAGACAATCACGTTTAAAGCGGTCTTGTCATTGTTTCAATTAATTATGATTAGTAATTAATTTTACCTTTTTTTAAATTATCTCACAGAAATATGATTTTGTAACAGATTTTTTTGCAACAAACTAAAGCAGTGTCAAACTTGTTAATAGTTTTGAAATTATTCTGTTTGTAATCGTATCAGGCACAAATAGCGACAGAAAGTGTACATGCATATAAACTTTAATTTTTTGAGTACCAAAAAGCACCAGAGGTTTAAAAGAACATTTAGTAATAAAAAATCATAAGATATACTCAAATTGTGTTCTTTCCCACATTAATTTCAGTTCTTTATACACAACAGGTCTTTAGTACACTAAAAATAAAAAGTCACATATAATGAATTAATTTTAGTTTTTAAATAATTTCTAATAACAAATTACAGAAACATAACTATAATGACAATATACAATTACACTTATCACTATTAAAAGGATAATTTATTTATTAAGTGCCAATTTAAAAAATACAATTTTTTGCCATTACAAGATATTATAATATTTTTTCAATTATATATTCGATACTGAACTATAAAATGAAGGAATAGAGAAAGACAAATGAATATAATAATTATTTGGCATAAGTTTTTTCGCATAATCGTTTAAGGTTCATTTTGTGTTCGTTTTACTGTTATAGTCTTTGTTTTCATAACATTGTTTGCGATGACTGCAGTTAGCATTTAGCTTTCGGAAGGTACGTCAATGAAATCCTAAAAAAGTATAGTATAGGGTAAAGATTAAGAAGACAAAATTGATTTTGGTACAATTTTTATCGGTTTGTTAATACCCCATTCTCTTGAAGATGCAACGTGCAAAGGGATCAACAAAAAAATTAAAACCTGAATAGAAGTTTTGTTTTCTTTTAAGTGTAAACATATTGCAGGATCTTTAAAATTATGGTTAATTAAAAGAATAAACTAGAATAACTTATTCTCGGTTGTGGTTTGTTTCTTTTTTTTTTATTTTCATACCTTTTTATGCTAACGAACATTACCTGTGCGGTAGTCAAATGGAAAGACGATAAACAATATGCCGAAATATGTCTTCTAAATAATGTATAAACGTTATCCGAAATGGCAATAACTATAATACATAAATAAAAATTAAGACTTTATATTACTATTTTTGGTTATAAGGTATCTAAATGTAACTACTTGAATACAAATTTAATATTTTTGAACACTTCACTAACGTATCTGAAACAAACTATTGTAACTATACACCAATATTATTTCCATATACTTCGACTTAAAAACTAACTTGGAACTTCTAAGAAAAACAAAGTTAATCATTTTTTATATAATAAATTCCATTTAAATGTTGAATTATGAAACTACTTTTACAAAATATAACAACGGTAACAAGCTTTTACGATTATAAATAACAATTTTATATTATTAAAGTATTGATCAGTAGCGCTACAAGATCGACGAAATTGATTGTTTTATTATATAATATATATAACAACAAACAACGGAAACTGTTAGAAAAACATTTTCACTACAGTTTAAGACAGGAACGTCATGTTTGAATATATTCCTTAGTCAAACACGATGGCTACAATCACATTCTTAATCTTGTTACTCTAACTCTTATTTTTGTATTCCGGGTGCTATCCATTCGATAATAATGCGTTCTCAAAAGCACATCAGTTACTTTTAAAGAATATTGAAGAATAACACCCAACCTTACAAACTTTATTAAAATTACTTTTAACAAGTTTTAAAACTCTCAAATAGTAGACTTCGTAAACCCCGATAGTACATCACTTATAAATTACGCATTATTAGGCACAATTCACGTTGGGAAAACTAACTCTAGCATTCTATATCTACTCTCTATGTTCAGTAAGGAATGTATAAAGAGGTTTTAATCTAAAGTTTATGAGAACCAGTAACTGATGAAAAGAATGCCAACCTAAAAAAAGGCTGCATATTTATATATATTCAAAATTTTGGGTATCTATTTTTCATTATTACGATTTTTTATGATATCAAACAATATCTTTAGTATAAGGTTAAGGCGGTGTTAAGTTATTGAAGTTAACGTACCTAATATCAGACGTCTGATCAGAATCTAGAATTAAAAAAAAGATTAAAAATACCCGAACCTTAACAAATTGAGTTTTTGGTATCATTTTTTTATTCGTCTGACACAAAAAGTGTTTACTGAAAATATAGCGGCTGTTTCAGTAAAATTGTAACTGACCGGCTAACTTTCCAAGGTAAAAGTTTAGGTTTACCATTGTTTAGGTTTTTTGAAACCTACAGTGAACTCGAGTAACTCGAATAAATCGCTATGGTTATAATAATGTACAATACTATATAATCACTATCCTATAAAGGTACCAGCAAACGCGTGATGGGTACACCAATTTCCTTTTCTTACATATTTACTAACGAGGCATTAAAATACATACTTAGCATCTTCTCTTATAATCAAACCAAAATCTTTTTCTATGTCCGATTCTTATTGAGAAACGACCTCATTAATTTGAGATTTTGAATTAAAATTTCTTGAGTAGGAAGGCAATCAAATTCTACATGATGGTGCGAAACAGTGCTCGTTTCTACGTAAACTTATAATTAATTAATAGTATAATCATAACATGATGCAATGCTGAAATAATCACTTCATCGTTCAACCTTAACTTAAAGAATATACTGGTCTTAATAAATGTAGTTATTATAATTAACAACACACTAAGTGAGAGCTATACGTTCGATATTTAATCCAGGTACCCATCACGTCACGACGGCGAACAAAAATCATAGACTCTGAAACATCCATTGAACATACGAATCACCGCTGCATATTGTCAATGTAATTATCTCCGTCGTAATGAACGCACTTTATACATATTGATGTTCATGAATAGTAAAATTTAAAAAAGAAAGGAATGACAAATGAAAGTTAGAATGTTGGTCGACACGCATATTATGTAGGCGAGTCTCAAATAATATTTGACACAATTAGATTATTTAATTTTTAACTACCTTCTTAAAAACAATAGAGTTTTAAAAAATCTTCTGAAAAAACGACAGATATAAGCAACGGATTTCATTTATGTACCATCTAGGAAAAAAGTCCCACTTTGGTCCCATCTACAGATGCAGATGAGTTAGTACATAATCTCAGTTGATAAATTCTCCTTTCATTTTCTAATGCCAAACTGGGACTCTTTATTTCCCAGATTATACATAAATTAAATAATGATTAAAGTCATTTACATATGGTAGATTTTGGTGACATCCACAAATTGTTGTTCTGAGTTTGGGTGTTCTTTGTGTCACATAATATATTCCTAATACGGGCGTTGTCTTTTTAAAAGAAAGAAAAATACTGAAATAATAATTTAACCGTTAAACCTACACTTATACAATATAATGGCATAAGTCTTAATAACTTAAAAATACTTAGTAAACTAAAACTACACCTGTAGTATGCTATACTAAAGAACTAACTAAATAATTGAAAGAGTAAATTAAAGTAAGAGAGAAATATAGGTTCCTAATCAATCAATAATTCATAAGAAATGACTCCACAGTACATTGATTAAAAGCTACTTCGTACTTGTTGCATCGTGTACGCGTGTATGTACGCTCTTCGAAATGGAGAATTGTTTTTCAGCAAATGGTTCCAACTCAATATCCGAACTCATCTGCGCCTACATGACAATGGCAAAGAAATGTTCAATCTACTTTTACGAGTCATCTCTATTAACAACTAATAAATATAGTCGAGAACTATTATTTATAACTTAAGGAAATGACGGTAATAAAATGCAGTAAACATGTGATTGTCATCCTAATTATTTCCATGAAGATGATAAAGATGGATGTGTAGCAACGCACGCGGTAACGTTCCTCACGACTGGAGCCAATTATGAAACTAACTAAATAAATAATTACTTTGTACATATCTAGTGCAGCTGTAAACATTGTACAAAAAGTCAAAGTTTAATTCCGTTAACAGATACTGTTACAAAAAAAAAACACGCGAATTAAAAGTCACATAATTTAAGTAAATACTGGATAGTAATTTGATAAAACTTCTCTTATATGGCTTTGTAATAAACTCATATTATTTATTATGTATAACAAAACGTATATTTTTTCTACATTGTAAGCGGATATCCGATCTATTTTATAATCACATAATTATATTTTATTGACAACTAATCAATAAGCTTGTATTTATACAAACAACTAGCTACCACGACGCTGTTTAACAGACAATATTATTATTTCTATTGAGCACATTACATGTTTTCATAAGCCGATAACTGGCAACACTGGTCACACACAATGTTGCTAGTATAAAAAATAATTTATTGTGTTCGAAATCTGACATTCTTTTACGCTTGATGAGTTTTCAAAATAGTTCAGCTAAAATATTTACTACTTAAAAAAAAATATTTTATTTTGAATGGCTCCTACATACTTGTTAATATCAATTTATATATAAAATAAATGTTACGTTGGTATGTGTAAGCTTCAAAAACTCAAAAAGTACTGCACCGATTGAGCTCAAATTTTCATACGATAGCCTTTCAAATATTGTTTTTATATATTTTTCGCGTCAATTATGTTCCCATTTCCCATCAATGCAATCACAATCCACAGTGACACATAACGTAAATGCGTAAAGCTTTCTTTTTATTACCGTTTCGGTATGGTTTGTAAAAAAAACCTGAAATTTACAAATTCAAATACAAAATACGTATCTTTATTTCATAAAAAAAAAAAATATATTTTAAAATCGTCTTTACAATCCCACTTACCAGTAAAAGACAATTATATTTAATACAATTTCTACAGTACTTTTTGCCCAACTTTATTGTCACTTTACTCAATACATTGAATGAAAAAAAAAACATGACCTTGAATAGCAACATCATATGTGACCCATATTACAATGTTTAGATAAAATTAACAAATTGACATTATGCACAACTTATGTTATTTAACTGATTTCGTAGTAATTACGTAAACATTCCGTAAATTTATAACAATAATATTTCATACCTAAGGCTAAAGAGAAACCAAACTTATGAATAAAGCAATATTCGATAATAATGGCAAAGGTACTGTCAAAATAGGGCTCGGGATAAAAACTGTAAAAATTAACATTTCCTAACTAGGCCAAGCAAATAAAAATAATATGTTAAGGGCAGTTGTACAGTAACTGTTACCAATCCTGACAAGGGAATAATTAATTATAATCTAAATTATTAATATATATACGAGTATATAACAACTATTGTGTAAACAAGTTTACTATGAGTCGACTAAGGTACTAGTTCAAAAAGGCCACTTGTGCCCTATAACATCAATATAGTTTTATATTTTTTTATTTTCCTTTGTTATTTTCTACAAAATAACTACAATACCTGAACCAAAGAGATATCTATAAATTTACCGAGGTGGTACTTATGTATGTTATAGAGCACAATACCTCACATTTTTTGTGCTGAGACAAGGTCCCACAATTATATAATTTAATTTCAGAGAAGTCACTTTAAAAATATACTATTATATTGAAATGTAAATATTAATATTTTATTTCGTTTGTAATAAGTTAAAGAAATCTTAATATTGGGATACCTAACATTCAACATGGAAGTTTTTTTACGATTAGATGTTAACACAACAGGTCAAAATACAAAAATTATAGTCTTTTTACCATTGAAGACGAGTTATATTTAACAATTACTTTACTTGCCAATATAAACCTCTTCGCGTCAGTCATGACCAATACTGAAACGATCAATTCATGAACGATTAACAATCTGGCAACAAACATTTTTAACCGACAACATTACCAACCGTCATCAAACGTCACAGGATTGTTTTGTTGATGTCTATTTACCTTATAATATATAAGAAGCATGGGATTTTAACAATGGAGGGGAAAACTACATGCAAAGTAATAAACCACACTTTACACTGATGTATTTGTGGGCCTTTTGAGACAAATTAAAAGTTCAACTTACATTTTAATTTCTGCCTAGATCCTACCTTCGTCTTTGCCACTATTGGGTTATACCCATACTTATATTTTTGGGTCTTTTTTATTCATTTTTTACATGAAAGCAATGAAAGAATGATAACACGGTACGGTCGAGCCAGCCGTGACGTGGGAGAGCCATGATTGGCACTTATGCCGAAGCATAGCTCTCTCACGGAACTTTTCACGTCCCAATTTGAAAGTACACCCCAGCATTAAATTAGCGCTTTACTGAAAAAACTGTAGAACCATCTGCTTTTTTTTTAATTTGTCTAAAAATATCATTTAAGTTTAATGTTATGAGATTGCTTTAGCTGGCAATGAGTATCATTAATAAATAAAATCTTTATATAAATAATGCCTATCTCTTACTATTTTTATTGAAATTTGTTATTTGAAAATAAATAGTTTGACATCACAATCTACACTCAAAAATGCCCACAAACACATAACCATCGTAACACAATCACTATATTACACTACCAAAATTAAAAGTCCGTCCGCCTTCATATCCTGGTATCGGATAAGCGGAACTTTTTACAGTAAACCCCTTTTCAAAACGGACGATGGTGACTCATGTAAGAGGGCTGGTTATAATAGTCGCGACGGAGGTAGCGATTGGAGAAACCACTGTACATTCCATAGTTAGTCGTATAATCCTGTCGGCTATGCAGCATGTCTAGTTGGTCGAGGCTGTGGTGGCGTTGAGGAGCAATTGGGGCTGTTCCAATAGCAGCATGAATATTACACATATATTTTAGATAAGTTACCGTACAGTATCTAAATATATAAAAACTATAAACATATTGCAACAGAAACTTGTAAATTTGTGCAAAGGAACTCAATAGCATTTTTAAACAAATAATTTAAACTAATTGTGAAACTGTTAAAATTCATATTTACAGACGTGTTAAACCAAGAAGGATGTTTAAATAGTTAAGCATCATCATCAGGCTTAAACAAAAAGTAAGCGCTAATTTCACTTTTCTTTACTCTGTCCGATTAGGACCAACCTTCACTTGATAAATTATCAGAAACGGGATATATACCATGTTTTTTTTTGTTAGGTATGGATGGATGGTTTTTTTTTTGGAATGAGTTCCCGATATTAGTAGTATGTAGTGTTAACATATGTTGTATCCTTTGCTATATCCACTGTATTCTTTCCGAAGAAAATAAAATAAAAAACTTCGGCATTAACTAGTTTGGAATCGGACTTCCATATGTGAAACGTGTAAAAAAAAACTGTTGCAAAGGCCTTGATCACGGATGGATCTCATCCGAAACAAACATGGTAAATATCCCGTTTATAATAGCAAATGAAGAAAAGACGACCAGGCTAGTTTAAATCAATAGACTATGATTTATTTCATCAGCATAATGTTAATGAATCAAATCTAACGCCACCGCTCAACAAATTGTCGCACAATTATGGTTTACGACCGAAAAAACGGACATCCTATTTTATTTCGACGATAAACGAAATCGTTTTCAATGGAAGAGTAGAACTCCCGAGCGACAATTTTGATTTAAACGTAAGACATTGACATTTAAGTATTTCTATGGAAAATATAAATTTGTATTTAATTTGAAAAATAACTCTTTTTATTGCTTATAGGACATGTAATTATATTAACAACTATGATTGTTTGCAACAAAAAAATATCAAAATTCATTTTTTTTTTCTTTTAGGTTTCATTTTTTAATTCCTTTATGAGGAAGAATTGGGATCCTATTTTTGCTATGGTTACAGTTTATCAAAATATGTATCACCAAAAAAAAAAATATTCCAAATTGCGTAGCATATAGGAACTATAACCTTCTAAAGTTTTTTAACGTAACTTTGGTTTTAGGGTTGGTTGTTGTTGTTTAAAGTGGTTTTTTATTACAGTTTATATAAAGTAATAACTTTTCAAAAACAATTAATGAAAAATAAATCGTGGTGACAACAACAACCACAATTGACAACAAACCACAATTTTTAACTAACTAAACTGTGATGTGTAAAAATACGGCTTCTATAAATTACCACTAATCAAAACCATTGTAATCTAAGGTATATGATTGAGGCCTCTTAGCCTGTACACTTCATAAATAAAAATGAAACTAACTTAAAGAAAGCAAAATCTAGTTCATGTAATTTCGTCAAATACTCGATGACAACAAAACATCTCCAAAACTAATCCCATGCTATAGTTACAAAAAGTATTACACTACTTACTTCTGGGCTCCTCACCTCGGTTATGATGAAACCCCGCTGCCCATCCTGCGTAGTAAGCGGCTTTCTGCTTACCATGCTCTTCAGCCACCTAAAATCGAGATAAGTACACATTAAGATCTATTTTTTATATAAACCAACTATACAAATAATCTGTTACATACATACATACAGTGGAATATGTTCCGCTGTATGTATTTTTCAGTAGAAACACTAACTACTTTTTTGAAGTCGGTTAAAAAGACGAACATTGAATCGGTTAGTTCTTGTGGTTTGGGCAGTAATCTAGTTTACTACTTACTAATTTATTTTATAAACTCATTTATAGAGATACACTTTTTTTTGTTAGTGTCCAAATCCACTGAAATGAGTGATTTAGAAAAACAATCAGATTTACAGCCATTTTGTACAAGTTATTAAAACATAAACCTAGCAGATCATACATGTATCGTTTTCGATTAATTTTTAACCGAGGCCAGTCTTAGTAAGAGGGTTTTTAATTCGATTGATTTTTTTATTACTAACATCATAAATACCAATTTGCTGCCGAATATGTACATGTGTAAATAAAGACGCGACGACGCAGAAACGACTAGACAGACATGCATGAAATGCGCCACCCATCACAGAAAATTTACAGGAATGCAGTCACACAAATGAAACTGTCGATAGCTAGTTACACTATACATGCAAATGACTGTCTGCCTGGAATTCAGACTCTTACTATTGTACACACTGAGAAAGTTCGATGTACTCTGAAAACTAACAACTACTATTTACTAAGTAGCTAGTTAGTTTAGGTACCAACTAGTTACTATTGGTATAGGTACTATTGAATTGAATATTGTGAAAAATGTTTGTTTATTATTCAGATACTAAAAACTTTCAGAATCGCCTTTACTACGCAAGGAGGAGGGTTGCATCTTGTCCTTCAATATGACCTATTTCTTAGCGTTCCATGGATTCACAGTGCGGGTGCCGGGTCCATCTCGTGATAGATGGGGGCAACACATGCGACTTTGACAGCGCTTGGGAATTGCGACCCAGGAATATGTTTAGGGAGTAATCCATGCAAAGCATCAGCGCTCACTTCCACCGTCTACTATGTTACCCCTTCTACCTAACCATATTTGATACGAGCCTTTTTTTGTTGCCGGGGTGGAAAATCCCTTCGGATCTCCTGCTTCTCGGTGTTCAGCATTGACCGCCGCCAGTTGCTCTGCTTAATGCAAAACTTCTGTCGGCTGTCCCGTCGCCCCTCTCGTAGCCGTTAAGGCACACTCCCCATGCCAGGGACCACATTAGACGCGCCAGTAATATAATGGTCGTCGTACGGACGCCGTGGTTTTGTCTTTGATACGAGCCTAGCAATGCCGCTTTGGATAGTCGTTCAAGAAAAGAGCTTACTGAAACTCTTAGCAATCCAAGTTATTAAAGTAGGTTATAGAAGGATTTAGCTGGTATACCCCTCGCACCCACTTCCACGGCATACAACGCAACGAAATAACCATATTTAGTTATTTCGTTGGTAAAGTCAAAGAACTTGTTTCTTTTTAAAGCGTGGTCTTTAGGGATATTCGTTTCCCTCGGCACCGTGAGTTCTACTAGTACTACACGCTAAATTGACTTTGCATAAACAAATATGTATGATCTGGACGCCGAGGCACAGATATCCTCCGGTATTCTGTAATGATTTTCATACGTGTTCACTAATGTCCAGTCACTGGCGGTATTTATAATTGAGTACGGCTTTGTGAATTCTTTTTTGTTGAGCGTTCCTTTACAAACGCGATGTAAGTTCTTACGTTTGTTGTTATTCCTTCTTTCACTCTCGCCCATGGTAAACTCATAGCTTTGCGTATGATGTGTAATACCTGAATTAGTGATCCCGGTCTAATAGCGCCTTACAACCTGTCAGTAAGTGCCAGGCTGTACCTATTTCCACACTGCACATCGTATAAGCCTCTTCTGTAGCTTTTCCCCACCTTACTAGGTTGCTTTGATCGGGGAGAATTAATTGAAAGGCGTTGAGGTAATAAAAAAAATTATAGGCCAGTGACCAATCGTATAAAAGTGTGCCCCAATTCAAAGCTGGTGGGATACAAGAATCTCCTACAGTTAACCATTCATTCTGCATTTCTAGGTTTATTGCGTGCAACTTGCAGGTCTCGTTTTCATCTTGTTGTAGTAAAGATTTTGTTATCTCTTTGCCGGTCTGTCTTCTAGCATTTCCCAATCCAACTCTACTGAACTGCGTACCCACCATGAATTTCTTGTGGAATTGTAACCGTGACTCAAGCTCTGATGAATTTTAGTCTTTTGGAAGGGATCTAACGATTTCGTCTTGTGATTTTGACAAGACATGCATTTTAGTAACACTTAGGTGTTTGTAGAGTTCCAAAGGTCTTTTTAATTTCATTCCAAAGATATTTGAGCCCGTGTAAAACGTTGACAGGTCCGCAGATAGTGCTAGACCGAGCCACGACCTCAATGTCTTAGTGACTTTCGCGTCTAGTGTTCTTAAGTGGTTCTGGTTTATATCGTATACCAGAAACGGCCAGTTAAGACGTGATGGTAAGTAGTTGTCGTAAATCCAAGCTTTTTTACGTTACTTATTGGCTGTTGGTCTACCTTGTCAATGTCTTTTACGAAGTCATCGACTATTGCGTTCATAGATGGAGTACGGACCTTCGTAGTCTATCTTTCTTCGAAGGAATTTAAAGGGCACGGTTTCTGATATTATTGAAACATTTTCCCCACCAATAACTCCGGGGTCATTTGCTAGGTTTTGTCCTCATTCCCTCCGTTCAGGTACAGAAGTCATCCACCATACGCAGTAGTTCTTACCACTGAAGCATCAGCCAAGAACATTACGGGCAAGGATCGCAAGGTCGTCTGCGAATGCTTAGATGGATTCCGTATATTTTCTATTGACCTTAAACCGGTAGCCCCACCTCTTTTCGTATGTTGCGATATTGTCTATTAATATATTTATAACTGTATAACTGTAGTTGTGTTGATTGGTAAAATTGGTTAATTAAAACTGTGTACTTAGCGTTGAATGGATCACATTTCTAAAACTATTGTCCAATTTGAAAAATGGATGATGATAACGATACGTTCAAAAATTTAAAAAATAACTTTAATATTTTATAAACCAATAAAAGCTTTTCAATTAATGCTACCTACAAAATAATTCGGCACATGTACAAAACCAAAAAAATAATGCGTGATAAAAAATTCAACGAAATGATAGCGATCCGAGACATTTCGAGCTTTCCAACTAGAGACACAGGGTTGTCTTTCTAAAAAAACCGCGAATGTTCGCGTGCACAGAAACCCGACACTGTGCCCCCAGCGGGAAGAGCCGTCGCACCATTGTGTCACTGTGGAGGCGCAGGCGACTGTTGGCGCGCGTCACGGACGTGGCCCGTCTGTATACCGCGTCGCTTCCGGTCGGCTGTCAAACAACATGTTACAAGAATTTAGACCCAACCCCAACCAATTACACTTGCATACCCCGACATGCGATAGATTATAGTAAGTTTCAGAATTATGAAAACACAGACTGGTTACAAAATTTAGTAACAGATTATAAATATGTAAGAAATCGATTATATAAGGAGAAATAAATGGATGTTTGATGTTTCAAATACTCAAGATATATAAAGCATAGTATGACAGACTTTAGATTTTTACTACTCGGCTAATTTTATTCTAGTTAATGAGGAACAACCCCAATAGATCTTTTTACTTTGTATCAGTTCATAATGACGTAAATAACATGTGTAGTTATGGTAAACCATGGCATATATTGCTAGTATGTAATACTTTTGGACAATAACGCATTTAGAAACCAAGATGATCTTAAGTTTAAATTACCAAGTATTAACTATATCATTTATGTTAATCTTTAAGACTAACCGATGCATCAAGAACGTTGTAAATGTTACCTAAAGGATCTATGAAACTATCTCTGAACCTCTACGGTCAAGAACGGGCCTGTTAGTAATCCAGATTGTTAAGCCAGAGGCTGTGTGATGGGCACGATCATTTGTTTTATGTCTGGATGTAATTTTTATTTATAATGTATTTAAAGTTATATAAGCATGTTTATTATCAATCTGGCTACCATATTGGTAGGTTGTTATTATTATTATATTACAAAGGATTTCTCCGAAACCTCGCGTCGGGTCGATTTTAAAGTGGGTCTAGGTTCCCCATATATCACTATGGTATAGTTTATTATTCCGACTCCGTTTCCCCGTGTCGGTTATGTTAAATAGTTCGAATCCGAAATAACATAGACCCTTTTAGGTAACAACCTGTATGCTTACATACATAAAAAACACGAACGTCGAACGTATGTTATGGCATATCTATCAGGGTTGGTCTGTAAGTTACATTTTTTGCTAGTGACATTAAAATGCTATTTTTAAATGGAATATGTTCTATACACATACACAAAGTACAAGTGTAATAGAAGGGCGGCATAACGATTAATCTAGTGCAAATTAATTTACAAATCGACAACTTACATATTCGCTAAGTCAAGTTACAAATTTTTGGTAAGGTCAGTATAAAAATGTTAAAACTTGCATAAATACCTTAACACTTAGTGGCTCAGTACCTCCTTCTGGTATCACGTTGTTTAACGCCGCAATCGCTTCTTGCGCCTCCTCGCGTTTGTCGAATCTGGAAAATTAAAGCGACATATTTAATAACAAGATAACTTTAAACTATTTCTTTTATCATATTCTCTCTACTAATTGATTATAAATGTGAAAGTAACCGCTGAAACGAACGGAAATTTGGCATGAAGATACCTACTTTGTTCGTTGAGGAAGGACATAGGCTACTTTTAGGATTAGACAAAAGCAAGCATTGTCTATTTTAACAAAAAAATTCACATAATAAACTTATTTTCTTAGTGTATTTTTGTTACTTTTTGAAATTGCTTATTTTGCGGAAAAGATTGTTCTTCTTTTTTACATACATACGCACGTACATTACATAGTAATAAAACATACAAACTACTATCAATACTACCAATGTATTGTATGACTTCGCTATGTGATGATAATGTTTCTACAATAAAACTTACCTACGCAAAACTCCAACACACAAACATTTCTGTTTCGGTAACGCGGTAATATAGGGACTGTTTGTTTGCTACGCTGGTTATATGTATAATAATAACCTCAAACATCACACTTCGCCGTATGGTCGCGAACTACTTACTATTAATACTTACCTAGTTATTACTAAATACATACATATATTAGATAAATTGCACCCAGACACAGAACAAATTATAGTGCTCATCACACAATTGCTTGTCGTGGGTGGGAACCGAACCCACGACCTCTGGCTTAGAACAAGAACCAAGATACAACATATATTAGATATTACATCACTAACCTGACAAATGCGACACCCCTGGGCGTTCCGTTGCTCTTGTCTCTGAGTATATGCTTTTGCACTATCCTCCCGTATTTGCCGAATATAGTCTCCAACTGTTCTTCCGTAATAGCCCGCGGGAGATTCGTTACATACAAGTTTGTATCCTTTATGTCATCGCCTGATGGACGGGCGTATGACACCTGGAAAAAAGAATTCCTAGTCTTACAATATTAACAAAAAATGCTCATAGGCTCAGATTAATACCACAAGTTATGAAGATATAATAATACGTAGCCTAATTAGATTTAACTACTTAAATTTCTATACAAGTACTTATTAACCTTCCCGAGGTTATGTGGGGATTCCACACGCTAAAAAAAAACTTGCATAATAATAAATACTGCGAGCTAAAATCGCCAAGTGCTAGCAGAATGTAATGTAGTAGAGGTAACATCGAGATTGCTTGAATATTCTATAGTACAATATTAAATACTAAGAAATAATGATTCGACCAACTACACAACAGTCTTCAATATTTCGTACCTTTAATCGTTTATTTCTAAGCTGGTATCCATTAAATGTATCAATAGCCCTTGCAGCGTCCTCCTCTCGCGTAAAATTAACAAATCCGAACCCGTAGCTGTATCCAGTCTGTAATCATACGTAGATAGGTATATTTTTTAATAGTAACCACTTGAGCTACACCAATTAAAAAGTAATATAGTCATTTCCTGCCACTCTGGCGCATGGGCTTTTGAAGAAAAGAATCAGAAGATTAACCATTGTACCGAGTATATCTATGAGAAACCAGTGTTCATTATTTTATCAGTTCAATAAGATCTGTTTTTTTTTAAGTAGTAAAAATAAACGTATTATATTCTAAGGGGCCATAATTCTGTAATGCCTGTAGACCAGTATGGTTCTGGTCTACAAGCAATATAGTAGATAGGGGCGAATATTAAAGAACAAAACCTCCTTTCTAAGGAGAGGCCTATGTCCAGCAGTGGACTAGTATAGGCTAGGCTGTTCATGGTTGTAGGATAAGCCTTCAATGGTTATAAGCTTATTACAAAATTAGTAAGTTGCTCAAATTTAACACACCTTAAAGTCCTTCATAACACGACAGCTTTCAATTGGTCCAATGGTCATGAACATTGCGTACAGGTCCTTTTCAGTCATCGTTTGTGGCAGATAGTTGACTATGAGGTTTGTCTTGCACGAGTCACCCCCGGCAGCAGATACCCCTCCTCCTTCAGACATACTACCCCAACACCGAGCGCCAGCGCCCGCGCGACCTCTGTACTGTTGTTGAATTTGCTGGAAATTCCATTTTTTAGATTATTGTTTAGTGCTAATAAGATTATACGGATTCGTGGCAGTAGCTATTACCGTTTAATACCTACTTCCACGTTGTAGTGGTCCGTTGGTAGTATTATCATTTTGCTATTATCAAGAATAATCTACTTCGGTCTAGTTTATTAAGTTAACTACAATTTTGATACTGAAAATGAAAATATAAAAAAATGAAGATAAAATAATATATCAAAGACACATAAACAGTAAAAAAAAAGAAAAAAAAAGATATACGTTCAAATAAAAATTAAATTAGTTTTTTTTATAAAAATCTTTAAAGTCCAATACATTGACAATAGTTAGGTTTAGGATATGGTATTTCAAAGTGAAATCTATCAGCAAGGATGGCAACCCCCTAAAGTATCTAGGTCGACTTAACCAGTGACCCTGTATTTTTTTTATATAAAAGACAACTAGGAATAAATCTTGTGTCGCATACACTACACACACATACATACACAAACATAGACGTTAGTTAGATATTAAATACCCTTGTACATGTTTTTTATACTGGATATACTACACATAAAAGTATCAACTTATTATAGTATACTCAAATTTCATCATCATCATCTTAGCCGAAAGAGGTCCACTGCTTGACATGGGCCTCCCCCAAAATTCGCCACAACAACCGGACCTGAGCTGCCGGCTTCACCAGGTCGTCGAACCACCTTGTGGGGGGCCTACCCAAGCTCCAGCTTTCGGTAGCCAGTCAAGAAGTTTTTGGTTCCATTTATATTTAAGACAATAGAATGTAAGTGCGAGCTTGCATTTTTTTAATTCATGTATAAGGACCAAAAAACCGTTAAATGTTATAGTAATAAGTTAATAACAGTAAATATATCACTATTGTTCACGGATTAACATTACAAACTAAGAAAATCGTACAGTTGTGGGATAAACACTATCTAATAACTATCTATTAAAGCGTGAAGAAGTAACAGACAGACACACTTTCGCATTTATAATATTAGTATTAGAGTATGGAAGTATGGATATTATTATTTTTTTGCTAATATCAAGACAACGGAATCTGTTGTTACATAAAGCATGTAGCATCATGGCATCCAGAAATAGGCGTCTTGATTCTAATTTATAATATCATATTTCTTCAACAACAACCAGAAGAAATATCTATAATTTTTGGTACCCATTTTTTTGCACCAATTCATGTAAAAACATAAAATATTATTCTTTATCTATTTAATTTTTATATAAGTATTTAAACACCATAAGGTGCCTCATACAATGTTCTCGCAAACTAAGCTTTTGCAATGAGCGACCGTAATTCCTAGAAGAAAGAATGAGGTGTCTTAACGTCCATGTTTAAAAGATAACATTCACTATGAAAAGAACGCCGCTCATTGTCTCACGAAATTTTACGAGTTATCAATTCAATACACATTATATTGTTTGTTTTATTAGTACCCGCATACCTGTTTATTACAAAGAATTACTATTTGTTTAAGCTAAATTATCCATTCTGAAAAAAAGTTATCAGTTTTAAGCCCTTATTCGCATAACTAATTGTTGGTTTATTTATTGTGGATAGTGATGACTTAAGTATTAAGTTGTTATTTCATCACCTTCCATTTACAATATTTATATAATTACTTCTTTTTCTTAATGACATCTTTATCTAATTATATTTCTTGGCATAAAATAATTAATGATGTATTTTACAACTTATTGAAGTACTTCATTTATTAAGCACTTTTCTTATAATTACTTTGATTTTCTAAATGATTAGGTATTACTTCATTCTTAAGAATTATTTCTGTTCTATAATGTTTTGACGAGCTTTTGATTTGCTTCTAACAAATCACGAAATAATAATCTCAACTGATTTGGCGTGAAGATTTTATGAGTCAAATTTACCTTATCAGAATATTTTCACATCAGCCCGAGTCTTCTGAAAATTCATTAATTGTTACAAACTCTCAACAAAGCAAAAAAAAATTAGTATATCAGACTAAGTCTGCATTCGAAGAAGTGTGAAAGGTTTAGGTCTGATTTAGGGAATAACCAACTAATCTATTAGGATCAGGAACGAGTTACCCTGACAGTATTTTTTACATTGCAGATATCCGACTTGGGTCCTTTCCAAGTTACTGCCATACACCTAAATGATATATTATACTAGCCTTGAGTATTTGTGCTAATAATAAATGCACATGTAACTTGTAAGAACATATTCGATCAATAAGTAGAGAATAAGGAAAGGTAACTACTACGTAGTGTAAAAAATATAGTTTTTTATTTTATAAGATATAAATAGTGATACGCGTTAAGTACATCGCCATATAATATTAATTGATAAACTTCATACGACAAAAAATACGAGTGCGGAGTACTTAAGCCCTCCCTCGCGCTTTGCTATACTTTCTATCGTCCCATTTAAAAAGTCATTATTACTGGATATTTTTTCTTGTTATTTTTGTGTTATAATATAATAGAATTTTTTACTTGGAAAATAAAAATATAATAAAATCTTTCATAAGCACAAAACTTGTTATGTGTTAATTTTAACTAAGTTATTATTAATATTTAAAAAAAGTTTATTTTTCTTGTTTTTGTTGCCTCCAGTCATTAGAAACATCATATCCCAATTTTATGACTTATTTGAAAATTAAAAAAACTCAACGACTTGAGAACTTATTGCCGGGATTCGAAAAAATAAATAAATTGATAAACGAAAAACCTAAGCTAACCAGTAACAGTATATATATTATAGTATTAGGGTCGAATGTCGAAGGCTAATACTAATAATGAATCTAAAAATAGCAAAGGTTACGTACATAGTAACATGACCGTCTAAATATCCGAAAACGATTCGGCAAAATCACTACGTAAATCTTATCGCGCTATCGAACCAAGAAATTCGAAATAAACTGTGCTAGTGCGGAACTAGTCGAATTCAGAAGCATTCGAAGTTCAAACATTTAACTGGAATCCGTGATCATTTTAGTAAAAGATAACGGTTAAACGAAATTACATCATCAATGCTATTAAATAATTATTTCTATTGTAAAAGTTAAAATATTTTAACATACAGTCATAAGATTCAGGTTCCTAACAACGATATTGAAAGCATTTTATAAAACGAAATTTAACATAATTGACTCAATAGAAAATAAACCATAGTAGGCACACGATATACGGGCCGCCGAATAACGATCCATTGCGACAGATGCTCCAGTTTCCGGCGTTATTTTATACACATACTTACAGAAGCTTAAGAAGTGAGTACAATTTCATGCCTTATGAAGTATATTATTCCTTCAGTTAACTGCAATAATATTTTCTAGAATACCTTAATAAATATTGAAATTGTAAGGGAACGTTACAACCTCGAAAATAGAAAGTAAATAATAGTTTAAAATAAATTAAAAAAAAAAAAAAAAAAAAACGCTTTTTATAGAAAAAAACGTTTTTTTTTTTTTTTTTAAATTTATTTTAAACTATTATTTACTTTCTATTTCCTATTTAGTCATGGGTCCTCGATATATCTACAAAGTATGAATGGATTCTGACCGTTTAAAGTCAGTCAAAATCACTCCCAAAAGAGTCGGTTACAAACAAACATACAAACAAACATACAAGTGAAGCTAATATAAAGCGTGTAATAAAAAAAAACATTCACGACTGTAGATTACACCACATTTTAGAAGGAAACTAATTGAATGTTATCGCTCAGGAGTGAAAAAACTTTCATTACCAACCTGGACAACCCACGCTAGACAATATAACTAAATTACTTACTACGAGTAAAAGAAAACCTGGTCAAGGCTATAAAGTAAAATCAACTTAAACAATTGAAACCGCCCACGACAGGCCGCCCTCTATGTATAAAGTTTGACAGAATCCACGAAAAGCTGTTTAAACAAAGCCGGAAAATGAAATCAGTTTTGCCGCTTAGGCATATAAAAAATTAAAACGATTACATGAACCTTTTCCCTCACAATCGCTTTTGGTAGATTATTTGTGCGCTTAGTAAAGTAGATACAATGCATACATATTCATCAGCAAGCGGTGCTGGGTCGTGTGATCCTTTATCTTTCGGACGTAAACTGTGACTGTGAAAATATTTTGTTCGTTTGGTTTTTGAGAACCTGACCTGGTAAGTGATTTAAAAAAATATATAAGCTACCCTACTACTAAGATAGTCATGTAGGGTAGCTTATATATTAAACAATGAAAAATATTAGTTATCTTATACTATACATATGATTAAAATAACATTTTGACTGGAAACTATTTTTTCGTAAATATAAAAAATATACAGTAAGAACGGCAGTTTTAAACCAATGATTCTGCTTCAAATAAATATTCTGTAAAATGTTGATATTAGTTTTGTACCACTTGAAACATAGCAACCAACTTGACAGTTCTATACAGTAATATTTACTTATTTACATAATTCCTTTTGCACAAATAACTATTGATTGTACAATGGTGGACTTAATGCCACAGGCATTTTCTCCCAGTCTACCTTTGTGTATATGTATACAAATATTTTCGAACTTTCTGACACACGCAGCCATCTAGTTTCAAACTAAGCAAAGCTTGTACTATGAATGTTAGATTGACTGATAGAATACGTATTTAGTTTTTTTTGTAAATACATACATCACATCACACATCACATCAACAGCCTTTAATAGTCCACTGCTGGACATAGGCCTCTCCTTAGAAAAAAGGTTTTGGCCTACTATACCACGCTGGCCAGACGGGTTGGCATAGGGTTTGTGTCAAGTTTTCCTTCTCTCTGCAGAGCTGTTGTTCTGCGTAGTTTTCTCCCCCTTAGTCGGCTCTTACGACGCCCACGGGATGAATAGGGGTAGACTCTGTATTCTTAATCCGTCACCACACGGATAATACTATACATAAAAAACACCCAAACAAATATATTTGCAGATCATACAAACATTTGGTCCGACTCAAGAATCGAACCCGAGACCTCA